AAGTTTTCAAATTGTTCCTTATATCATTGTCCATTATAGATTAATAAGGCACCCTGATCTTCACCCATAATAGGTTATAGACAGAAATGGTTCAATTTGAATGAAAATGTTTCATTAGCCATTACAGAGGTATTCACCTCACAAGAGCGTAGGTACTTCACTTTCCTCCTAAAAGGGTAAGAGCTCAAGTATAGAGCCCATGCATGCAATGCAAATATGATCATGTGCAAAAGAATATGTCAACACTTTATAACATCACAACCCTTATCTTAAATGCCCCAACATTTATTATGAACATTATATATAAAAAAAACATAATCAAAATATAAAATAAATGACATAATCAAAATCAAAATTAAAGAAATCAAAGTCAAATATTAATTAAGACCATTAAATCAAAACTTAGAATAACATATAATTAATCTTAACCCAACTTTCTAAAAATAGGATACTTTTCAGTAGAGTCGCTAAATTGTTATAACAATTTTAAGGACAGCCAGATGAAAATTTTAAAAATTCCAAAACAGAGGGAGTTGCTATTAATCTTTTTTGTTTTATATGATTGACCACTTAGAAAGTTTATTTTTTTAATGAAAATCCTAAAACTAGTTTAAAATTTATCAACAAGACAATTTTGGTCTTTGAAATCAAATATGGGTTCAATAGTATGGTTACACGTGGGGAATTATTAATACAGTCATAGCCCTTATTTTAAAAACGACACCAATTGATCACATATTATCTTTTTGTTTTGATAAAAACGGTCTTAATTCTAATATTTAAAATAATTCCCTTGACATTTTATTTTTTGTAAAAATCTTTTTAAAACCTTTTATTTACGAATAAAATGAAAATATTTTATTTTGAAAAAATTTACTAAATTCTCCAATCTGTACGTAGAATTTCAAAAAATTTCTCTCCACATAAATTCTCGTAATAATCTTTAAAATCTAACGTAATATTTATTATAAAAAATAATTATTGAGAAACCCTTTAATATTTAGGATGAGTCACAAAAATTATTTTTAATTAAAAATATTAATTTTTTGTTTAAAAAAATATTTCAAAATCACATTCATTACTTTGTTTTTTGACAAGGATAAAATGCAGGCAATGCAATATGATCTAGACAAATGATGCAAATATAAATAAAAGATGTAAATGACCAATTTAATTCCTTCTTATGAATCTTTAATTTTATCTCTTTTTTTATCATTTATTTAAAAACTTTTATTGATAAAAGAAATTTATTTAACATTATTTGTTATTATTACTATTTTTTATGTTCGAAAAAAATCTTTAATTCCCTAATATGTAGATGAAATTTAAGAAAATTAATCTTCCATTTTAAAAATTCTAATAATTATTTTATGATAAAAATGAAAATGATGTTTCTTAATAAAATATGATTTAAATCTCCTTCAATATTTAAACAAGATTTTCAAATTATTTTTTTAAATATTATTCTATTTTTCCCAAAAGAAATTTTTTTTTGAAAATTGTTACATTACTATTTCACATTTATTATTAATGCATGAAATGCATATATGAGAACATAAATTAAATAATATATGTAATTATATATTTTTCTAAATAGATTTTATTTATGAAAACAATGGCATTTTTGCCTTTTGTAAAAAAACATTTACTTTTGTTTTTTTTGCCTTTTTAACTTCTCAATATTTAAGTGGAATAAAAAAATTGATTCATTTAAAAAAATTCTCATAATATTTTTTTTAAAAAATAAAGATAATATTTTTTTATGAAAATAATTATTGAATTCCCTCAAAAATCTATGTAGGGTTTTAAAAATTATTCTTCACCTAAAAACATTATCTTATATTTTATTTCTAAAGTTCCCATTTTGAAAATCATTTAGAATCACAAATTTTCTACACTTCATTTTTTATTCAAATATCATTTTATTTCATCATACATTCATAAGCAAATTAAATTTCAAGAATGTATTTGCATTTTGTTTGTCATTGTAATTATTATTTTTTTAGAAATCCTAAAACAACATTTACAAGCATAAAAATGATTAAAGATATAATAAAATATAAACCAAAGGGAATGAAATATACCCCCAACAAAAGTTTTAATGGTTAAGTCCAAAATCTATAATCCACTAAATCGAAAGAGGAAAAGTTATAAGGCCAAGCTATTAATTTGGGTATGATTAATAAGTAACGAGTTGGGTCAAGTCAATTTGACTCAATTCAGTTTGTCCATTTTTTTTACTTTTTTTTAAAATACTTTTGACTTTTCTACTTTTTTTTTCTTTCATTTCTTCTTCTTTTTTCTTTTTCTTATTCTTATTCTCTTTTTTTCTTTTTTTCCCTCCTTTCTTTTCTTTTTTTCCACACCCTAAATGCTTCTTTTTTTGTTTTTTTTTCTCATACTTTTTTTCTTTTGTTTTAGTTTTTTTCTTTTTTTCCTCTTTTTTTCTTTCTCTTCATTGTCAATGCTGAAACAACTTCCTCTCTTTTATTTTTTTTTATTATTCTTTTTTCTTTTTTTTTTATTTTTTTATATTTTTTCATCGAAACCTTTTGACCGAGCCAAACAGGGTTTTTTTCTTTCCTTTACTTCATTCATTTTTCTCTTCACTTTTTTCTCTTTTTTTTTTTCTTGTTATTCTCTTTTTTTTTTCCTTCTATCCCATAACCAAACTCATCTCAATCGAAACTCCTTCCCTTTTTTCTTGTTTGTTTTTTCTAAATACCGATTGGATTTCTCATTTTTTATGATGATTGACTTTTTTTTACTAGGTTTCTCATTTATGATGATTATGGTTGTTTGTTATTTTTTTGCTTTGCTGGCTTTTAAAGGGTTTTAAAAATTTAGAATGATAATTGCTATGGGTATTAAGTGGTTGGCTATTTTATGATATATGAAAAAATTACTGTGGTGTTGTTTTAATTGTTGAAAAGGAGGAAGGCCAGATTATAGTAATGACGATTTGTAAAAAGGTCTCGAAGGTTCTTGGGTGTTTGAAGTTGGGAAATGCTTTGGATAAATTTTGGTAGGCTGTTTTGATATGAGATTAGTGGTTAATGGTAAGCTCTTTAGGGATGAATAGGGTATTGGGTTCATAGCTAGAAAAAGGGTGGTGGCAATGATAGAGATTTAGGTATGGTGATAATGTAGCTTCAAGATTTTTTTGGTTTTTGATTTTATTTTTTATGAATTGACCTTCTGTGTGTTTTTGGTTCTCCGAAATTGACTTCACCTCCCTTTTCATTTGTGAAATTTTTAGTCTTTACAAAAAATAAAGTCGAACCTAGGACTTGGTTTCAAGACTAATTTTTTTGGAGTCTTTTCCCTTGGAACGGAAGAACTTGCTGCCTTTTGGGAGACCGATCATGCCAAATTGGTGTTAAAGGTCAAGGATAATTGGTAAGGGAAACACTGGTTACTAAAAGTGAGCATGCAATTGGGGAAACTGTCTACCATGGCAAACCAAGCTTCTGTCTTTTCCTTTTCCTCTTTTTTTGTAATTTTTCTTATTAATAATTTTTATTAATTCAATTTTATTTATTTAATTAATTCTAGGCCTTAAAATTAGAATTTGGGTTCATATTGATTTTTAGGCTTTTAAGTCCAAATAACTAAATTCTGAATTAATCCAAATTAAATTAGGCCTTAACCTAAATAAAATTGGATTGGATTTTAACCTATACAAAATGATCCAAAAGCAATTAATCATAGATAAATCCAAACGAGTCAATCAAATTAAAATGTTTTAACTAGCCTAAATCAAAATGTTTGAATCAAATAAACTTGAATTTATCCAAATAAAATTAAATATCTACATTGTGTCACTTGCATTTTTTAAAGACTAACACGTGTAATATCTACAATTTTTTTAATAAATCTTTCTCTATAATTTTATTTTTAAATATGGGACTCTTATTTTTTTTGTGGGACTCATTTTGACAAATTTTTTTTAATTTTTTCCCATTAAATTTTTATTATAATCCTTTTTCAACGCAACACACTTTTTTAATTTTTTTAATTTAACTCTTTTTTTAAATTTTTTTTCTTTGGTATCATGCTTAATTTTTTCATCTTTTTTTTTAAATATTTCATAAGTATCTTTTATTTTTGGGGAAGCAATTTGATATCAAATTTTATCTATATTTTCTCTTTTCTTAAAAAAATTCAATAAGTTTTTTAATACTTTTTTTACCATTTTATATATTAAAACTATGCTGCGTGTTTATTTTTTATTTTGAACTTTTTTATTTTTTTATTTTTTATATATTTAATAACAAAAGATTTAATTTATTATAACTAACTTGATCTTAAGTGTACCTCACATATAATATATATATATATATATATATATGTATTATATTAATACGATCGTTATTTAATATTTTAATTTAATAAATTTATTTTTTTAATTTTTTTAATTTTTCTTTGTTTTTATTTTTGTCAAATTAATTTAATTAAAAAAATTAATTGAGGTGTCTACAGTACAACTCCATTTAACTTTTTTTTAATTTTTTAATTAGATTAATGTTATAATAAATAGTGTAAAACAATTTATATTCTACAAGCACAGTCCATCGCGATGAGATAAAGGGGGGCAAACTTTTTTAGATCAACATAAAGTTGAAACAGGTCACCTTTTTTTTTTTTTTAAAGAAATAAGACATCAGAAGCTAGTTTAAAGTATTTTCTCCCAAACAATTTTAAAGTATACATAGAATTATATATTTTATTGTCAATTTTGTTTTATATATTATATTAATAAAATAATTATTTGATACATTAATTTAAGTAATGAATAGTTTAAACTTAATTAAAATATCCATATAGCATCTTTTATAAGCATTTTTGTTTATTTCTTTACATTTTTTCTTTTCAATTATTTTTTATTTATTATCTTTTCACTTTTTTATTTTTTAAATTAGATAACTTCCATTAAAAAACAAGACTAATCAAATATGCACATCTCATTCTTTTCTTTTTTTTTATTAGTACCTTTCGTCTTTTTTTTTTTAATTAGATGAATTTTGTAATAAAATACTAATTAGATATGACAAATCAAAAAAATTTTAACCCAAACAATGCACGGACATTTTGCTACTAAATACTGTAAGTTCAAAGAGTAGGAGCTGAAAACAACCACAATAATTCCATTCAATAAGCATGCAGCAATTTACAACAAACGCCATGGGTGAAAAATAAAAACAGCAAGAGGCTGGAAGAGAACAAGCAATCAGATCATCTATATCTAGATTTTTTAAGTAAGTTTGGCAGAAACTTTTACCTCAAAAACACATCAATGAAGCACATAAGGAAGCAAGTACTGAAATTTAACATTTTACAAATGATATATTTGTTAGCAGCTTGACATAATTATCTTCTGCCATGGCAGGAACGTTATTCTCTACTGGACTTTACCCAACTTATCGCTGAAAAAATACAATGGGATGTAGGTGACTCACTGAATACTTTTAACTAGTATAAGAAGAGCTTGAGTAGAATGTGCAAAAGCATGTGATTTTGAATATATGTCATGAACAAAACTATGGCGTTCCCTTGATGTAGCTCACAAATTAAGTCCTTGTTTTGGAAAATCCCTTACCACTGAAACACAGAAAAAAAAAAGGTATTAAAAGATATGTCATGCAGATTATGAGAAACCATATCAAATGAAGCAGAAAGGAAAGGCTAAAAATAAATAAAATAGTACAGGGTTAAAATAACCAACGGAGCTATGCTGATGATGTAGTGCAAAAGAAATGTCTCAATTTTATCATTAATTAGACAGCTATGCCTGCGAGGAGAGAATGGGGAAATGGAAATAGTCTGGTGGAGAAAGAGAAAGATGGCCAGCCTTTCATTGGCCCCAAAAAAACTAACCAAGTTTAAATGATAAGAACACAGAAAATGAGGGGATTGCGACTCATTTTATAAATTCACAAAAATGTAGTTCTTTTTAAAAATTTTCTCAATCTTTACTTCTAAACAGTCTATGGAAAATTAAATTAGTTAAGCACTGCTCTTTTTTCTCATTTCGTTTTATTTCTCCTAGCAAAGAGAAGAAAAACAACTCCTTTGTATCAATCAATATATTTCCTCTCTTTCACGTCAAATAGAGCAGCGCAAAACAAAACAGCAATTAATAATAATAATAATAATAATAATAGTAATATATTGATAAATTTTCTTTCATTTTTCTATCTTTTCTCGTAACTTTCTATCATTCCCACTAAGGAAAGAGTAAAAATTGCTTTCCAAAAGAACTATAACTGATCTATTATGCTTCTCTATCCTACAAAATAATTGCATACATTTTCTTAATGATGCATCTCACTGTCTAGAAATCAGGCAAAATTTCTTAGCTTGGCAGACTAACCCATTAGTTCTATAATGTTTTGTAAACCAAGCCTCCTAAAACACACTCCAAACATCTTCAGCATATCAAGATTCTTTGTTTGAGCAGTATTTTCCTTAAAAAGAATCTTCTAGCTTCAAGAAATATTCAGTTTACATCAAAGACCCATGCAGCATGGAATATATCCAATTGAGGAAATTCCAACTGAAAGTTAGGATTACAATGTCAAGTTTATATAATTGGCTTTCTTACAATAATTTTCAGTACTCAAATATGTACCAAATGATGAATCCACTCAATTTAGTCTTAGAAGTACATTAACTTTCTAGTTACTAGCCTAATATGCACCATCATAACGGTGATGAAACCACTCAATTTAGTTTTTGCAGGACATTAATAATTCTATTTGCTAGCCTAATGCACCATCATACGGGCTAATGCTCCCACTAAACGTTCTTCTCAACAACTCACCATATAGTCATTTAAATACCCACAGTTAGCTCCATTTAGCATGGTTAAGTGTGAAACAATGTATTTTAAATGACTAAGAATTTTGCGAGATACCAAGGAAATTAGTCAACAATCCTGGGCACAGAAATTAAACCTCTACAAGAAAATGTAGAACCAGCAAAGGCAAAATGTCCAACACTAGATCTTGAATGGTATGGTATAAGGTCTATGAGATGAAAAATCACATAAGAAATGTGGGCTTATGAGAAGCAGGAAAAGGCGCTGCACTGTGTGCTAGAAATTTTTTGGACTAAGTATATACATCAACTCTTAACGGTACACATATTTGGAGTTAAGATTGAGAAAATGGTGAATTTCGACCTACACACTAGAATTGCATTTGCAAATGCTTGACAAGTTAACAATCAGAATTTTTGTTTGTTGCAAGTTGCAATCACCAAACAAAACATGAACAACAGATGTTCCAAGAGAGCTACTTAAGAAACGGCAAAATGGATATACATACATTGATATTATTTAAAGAATAGAATTTACTAAGTTCTCAATTTTACGATCAGAAAATTCAACTTCTATGACCAATGGAAGAGAGAATTGAATATGCATATGCATTAAGCATAAGATGCATTGCAAAGAGTCGATAGAAAAATCTGAGCAACTCAAAGACAAGTCTCACCTTTTGATGCTGATGGAACTACAACAACATGCATATCAGCATTGTTGGGAGGAAGCTGCAAGCGAAGAGGAAAAAGCTTTCCATTCAAAGGACTGCGAGTACACACCACAACATCCTCAAGCCCTGTCTCTTCCTTTAATTTGTGAGTCAGTTCATCTACACCATTACCCTTAAAGCTAAAAGAGTACCCCTCCACTGCCTCATCATCAACTTCCCCACTATCATCTGCTACATGGAAGTATATTGTCCTACCTTCGGATTTTGGTGGTGAACCCACATAAGAATCACTTGACTACAAATAAACAAAATACTTAAAATAAGAATCACTTGGCTACAAATCAAATAATTAAAAACACCCAATTAATCCAAAAGTTAAATTATTCAAAAGATTTCAAGAAATATCTTTTGCCTTGCTCTAACTCTGATACTATATTACAAGCTAAACGAAATGTGTCACGAATGAGAATCAAGTACCGCAATTAAAGATTGAAAACAAAAATGAAAAAAATTTAAAGACAAGTTTAGATCTTCAAACCTCTTGTCTTGAAAAGTGTCCAGATTTATCTGAAACTGAAGAAGGTGAAGCAGATTCAAAGTCCAATGAATCTGCGTGAGGAATAGCAGGAGGAAATGAAGGCCGATGACCACTCCCTGGAGACTTCTCTTGAATCTCCATAATATCCACGTCCCACAACACCCAATCTTGAGTAGCAGTCCTATGAGGAATATCGTGCGTCACCGAGTTCCTCCAAGGCGGTAACCCTCCATTTGCTCTCAAAAAGTTACCGTACCGAGTCTTGAGCTTGACCTGAGACCCTTCTCTAATGGGTTCCCACTCGACCGATGAGTCGAGCCTCCTAGGCAGTGTCTGAGTCACCTTTCGACCGGTCATTCCAAGCAAAAAAGGTTGGTTCGAGGCGGTAAGATACCTGTTGTAAGAGCTTTTTAGGCGGATGATGTTTTGTGATCCGGGCACGAACTCGACGGTCCATCGGGCGTTTTTGGAGGATCCGTTTCGGTCTTGAGTAACGGATTCTTCATCTTCCTCGGCGAGGAGATACTTGTCGTGATGGCTCCGTAGACGCACCGCTTTGGCGTTTAGGAACAAATCCATTCCCGTCCGATATTTGTTAGAATTTATCTGTTGAAAAATGGAAGAAGGAAGAGGAAGTGAACAAACAAAGACCAGACCCTTTTCTTCTTATCCAACTTTTTTTTTCTTGTTTTTCGTATGAAGGAGAAATCTTTTAAATTGGGGATATTTTCTTTTTTAATAATGAAATACCAGGAAAGTGGGTGTGCTAAGCTGGATCCATGGCAACGGAGAGGTGCCAGTCAGCGCCAGCCTTTGTAGAAAGAAACATGGACACGCGGCAATTACATGGCAAATTTCCTTCATTTTTTGGCCGAAGTTTCGTCTGAGCTGTGCATTGCGCACGTGGGTCTATGTTGGCGATTTTGGATCAAGAGAAACAGGAGGTATATCCTCCTCCTCGGACAAGCTCACTTTTACTTGTGTTGTTGTTCTTCATACGTAAGTTAATTTTTTAACTTGTTACGGTGTTGAAGTAGTCAATGTTTCAGTGTTCAACCAAAATCTTGAGTTGACTATTTGTTTTGTAAGAACAATGAAACCGTGAAACTGAACTGACAAACTGAGCTGAGCTGGCTGTTGCTCCTTAGTCCCTCAGGGTGGTTTAACTTTAAATTACAAGTTCTATATTATATTATCAAGTTGATTGGATTGAGTGGCTCCACAAGTTTGGCCGGATTCAAAGGGCTAAGTCGTGAAAAGACTGGCTTAAGAGTTCTCTCTCGTAGAGGAAAACAACAGAGGCAAAGCCGCTTGATCAATATTTGATATGCTGATTCAAGGAATAATTCATTGGACATTAGACTCAAAGCAATGTACAAAAGGCAAGACCCCCATTTTGGAAAGGCTTACAGGCTAGCAGTTTAAGGATATACTTCCCAGGGGGGCTTTTAAATTATAAGCGAATGAGGTGGAGAATCAGAACAATTGAATATACAAATTTTTTCTTTCTTTGTTGCTAAATCAAAAATCAATGTTTTAATTTACTTATTCTACCTAAAAACAATAGAGAAACGGGTTCACGATTGCCTTTTAAACTGCTGTCTTTTTATGATTTCACGAATCACGATACTATAAACCACAATAAGTTAGCAAGATTGACATCGAGGGTTTTTTTTTTTTTTTTGGTGCTTTTGTTAGTGGACTCTGTTTAGTGGTGCATGTTTTTAAGTTAGTGCGGAAGAGTTGGTGAAGTGGAGTTTAACATCCTCTCTCTCTCTTCAGTATTTCATTGATCTTATTCTAAATTTCTAACTCATGTTTAATGCATAAATACTGGTGGACTCAGATATGGCTCTCACCAGTTCAAATATAGATGCTACTCATTCCTAGTAAAGATTAAACTAGTAGTCATTACTCGTTAGTAATAAGGACAAATACTTATTTGGATAGAAGTATATCATTAATTTCCTCAAACCGGACTTAATTATGCGGATTGAAAGTAATTTAATTAGGCTTCGTTTGTGATATATATATATATATATATTTATATTTATATTTATATAGATCCTATATGCATAGATTAATTGTCAAACTCAAAAGTAATATGGAATAGGCATAGCTTTCTATGACAACAATTCATGTCCTGTCTTTTCTCATTGACACGATCAATAATTGAACCTAACAAGTTAAAGCGTGATTAGATTACCAAATTATAATCAACTTCCATTTCATTTTAACTTGATTTTGTAATTAAGATTAGTAAGAAAACTTAAATTAACAAGTTACTTAAGAAAAAAAGTTAAACCACAGTACCTGTTTGGCTGACTTGGAAACCATTGAAAACCGCGGAGACTTCAATGATGACGCCACTGAAATCGGCGACTGACGACCTGACCCTAAAATATCGTCGCTCAAAGCCTCCAAAACTTCATCGGACACCGAAGAAAAGCTCGAAACTGACGACAAATACTCCAAGAGCGGCTCAGACTCTGGCGCCTGCACCACCTCCACATCCCATAATATCCATTTCTGCGTAGCTCCAGTATAAGGTTCATCGTGAGTGATGGAGTTCCTCCATGGCGGTGTCCCCCCGTTCGCCCGCAAAAATTTACCGCACCAGGACTTCAACTTGATTTGGAACCCGTCTCTTATAGGCTCCCACTGGAGTTTCCAGTCCATCTTATCTGGCACCGTTTGCAGCACCTTGTTACCCGTCATCCCTAAAAGAAAGGGGGTATCAGTGGATGTGAGGTACTTTCCATGACAGCTCTTGAGGCGGATAACGTATGGTTTATCTTGGACAAGCTCGACGAGCCATCTAGCTCTTTTTCCTGAGCTGTTTCGGCTTTGACGGACAGTTTCCTGATCATCGTCGGCAACAAGGTATTTCTCTTGGTGGCTTCTGAGTTTAACGGCCTTGGTTTTTGTAAAAAGCTCCATGCACCTTAAGTGGCTATAGAAAAATAGTTTAACGGGAAAACGGGCTTTTTATAAGTGAACAAATATTCTTGTGTACATGGTGTTTTTTTTCTTAGAAAGGGTGGCGATTCTAGATTCTATTTGTATAATAATGGATGAGTAAAGGTTGATTTGTCTGATATTTCTTGTAAGGATTAAACTAGTTGGAATTATTCAGTTTCTTAGTTAGCAAGATTATGGAAGCTGCAGGGAAGGAAGAAGATGAATTGAAGGGGAAATAACAACATTGGGGAAGTCTAAATTTTGGGTCGACGATTGAAACTTCCACGAGCATGCCATTGTTTATTACAAGGGAGAATTAGGGGAAACAAAGTCAATTCCCACGCGCTCAAGGGCCGTATGTTGATAGGATGATCATGTGGGAGAGTAGATCCTTTGAGGAGATGGGATGGGACCCAAGACAACGTGCATTCTAGTATTTCTGTTGGATAACGCGTGGGCTTTGCTATTGGAGGAAGTTTTTCCAGTTCCCTCCCTACCTCTAGAAGCTAGGGTGGAGATCAACCATGACCTCAATTCTAAAGTTTCGTCCATCGGCGGCAGTGTTCATATTGGGGGCTCCTTTCGTTCAGTTGATTTATGTTACAAAAACACTGATTGAAATGAAGGGAGGTTTTTGACATGGCCCTCCATATTTTACCCTTCCAATTTATAGGAGAATTCTAATAGTGCAAGAAAAAAAAAATGCTCACAGGATGCTTAAGATCTATATTCGTCATTTCATACAATTTTTCCAATATAATACTGCTAGTATACTGTTATGCCTAATTACTCGAGTCAACAAATTTTCCTGTCGTCTTTGATAATTTGATAAGTGAAGAATGGTATAACCAAGCCTTCTCCGACATATACAGTGTTTACCACTTCATAAGCATGGAAAGAGCATTCTAAGGGTTTTTTTTTACAACTTCCACATACAAAATAATCAAGGTTGTGATCACCAATAAGTCTTCCTCTTCATCTAAATACACTTGTTTACCATCAATCACAAATTTCACATTCTTATGTAAAGATGACAGCATAGCTTTTATTATGTGGATCCACGGCTTTTCTAATAAGTAACTATATGATGATGAAATATATATAACTTGAAATTTGACATTGAAAGTGTAAAGGCCTATTTGTAGCGGAATCTCTATATCTTTGATTACTTCTTTTTTTGAGCCATCAAAAGCTCATACTACCATGTAACTACTTTCATGTAAAAAGATCAACCAGTAACTTTGTCAACGTGGCCATTGGCATGATATTAATAGAGAATCCATTATCAATTAGTACTTTTGCCATAATGTGACTTTTACATTTTACTATGATATGCAAGGCCTTCACACTACCTTATCCTTCTAGCGAAATTTTGTCATCATTAAATGTAATGAAGTTCAAGGCCACTATACTTCCCATTAAGTGGTCAACTTTCTCGATTGAGATATCATGAGCCACATAGGCCTTGTTCAAATATTTAGCAATGCATTCCTGTGAGGCTTAGAGTTTAGCAGTATAGACAATAATTAGATCCATGTTGACATCTTGTTAAGTTGATTTACCATACTATATTCACTATGCCTAATAATTTTCATATATTTGCATGTTTCCCTTTCTATCACTGGCTTTTAATTTGTGCCCCTAGATTCATCGCAATGGGAACTCTTTTTCATTTTTATTTTCTTCTACTTCTTTTGCTTTTTCTTTCCTTACTTGTTCTAGTACGTCAAAGGCATAACATTGATTGCTTCGGGTTATTCCTCTAACCCTAAATATATCGGTTGCATCATTGACATTTGAATTGTTCAGAGTAGCACTAATACCAGATCTTTGAACTACTATATCACAATCATACTTTCATTAGATCACCTTATCACACTTGTATTGAAATGTACTAGGCACATATATGTCACAATTGTTTTGGGATAAAGAATGGACTCATTTGCTATTGGCTTTGGCTCGTAATAAAAAATTGTCAGCAGTTTCGAAAAGAATGATCCCTTTAAAGCTTGTCATGCTATCGTGTTCACTATATTCTCTTCTTCCTCATTATAAAACTCAATTATCCCAGAATTCATTATCGCTTGCATTATTTTTTAAAAGTCTTCACAATCTTGAATTAGATTATCCATTACTTTTTTGTGATATTTATGAATCAGAACCAATTATTTATAGCTGTCATGGGTCTTAAAGACTAGGGGATAAATTATATTAGTCTGGATCAAATAATCATACACTTTATCCATATGAGTCCTCATCTCTTTTACCCACTTTTTAACCTCATCACCCATTTTTATTGCATTTGTTGTACCCTTAGCATGATTAGGTAATGCGTTTCTACCAACATTTGGCTTTGTCCTTATATCAAAGTTTAGTAATTTGATTTTCACCAACCCTTGCACCTTGTATTTCAAAGCCATGTGGTCTTCTAAGCAATTACTGTTATTGTCAAAAGGGTATTCATATTGGGTATTAGGGTTATACAATTTCAACTTTAGGGGTTTGAAAGGTTCAATAGGAGTTAAGGTGATAAGGTGGCCTTTTAGAAGTTATAGGTAAAGATTTGTATAAGACATAGGCATTAGGTTAATTGGGGTTCTTTATTTGGTATTGCTGCTATGCGAGTTTTTTGTTCTAGTATTGGGTGGCTTTGTTGGAAGAAAAGCTGTGCGATTAGAGTCGAAGTGTAATGGGCGACTCTAGGTTGGACACTTACTTGGTACATTGGTTATGGAAGTGGTGGGTATGAGTATGGTGTTTAGGAAACTTGGTTTGCAAATGGGCAATAGGGTGAGTAAGTGGGGTATTGGTGGTGGGGAATGAAAGGTTAGGGTGAAAGGCTAATAGTTACTACGTGGGCTTTTGATTCTTTTTTTCTAGCAATTGAGGTGTTCTTGGCTCTTAGGCCTTTTGCCCATCAATTTTGCTATTCTTAATTATATTTTGAATCATTTCTTATGATATTACCATATTAGCAAAAATCTTGTGGCATTGCCTAACAATTTATCATAATAAGGGGCCTTTAAAGTGTTTACAAAAAGTATAGTGATTTTTTTCTGTCAACAGTTGTTAAAACTGTGCTGCTATGTCTCTCCACCTATATACATATTCTTTGAAAGTTTCAGTGGTACTTTTTTTCATATTTTATGGGGATAACTTATCTGACATCATATCTTTAACATTATTATATAGTGCTACCAAGGCGTTGGCTAGATCCTTCTATGAGTGAATTTTACTTCGGTCCAATTGAACATACCAGCTTATTACTAACTCGATGCGAGATTATCTTAGAAATAGTGAATCAAAAATTTGTCATTATAAGTGTGACTAATCATCTTTCAACAATACATGGTGATGTATACCAATAAACTTTTTCCTTAGTCATACTTCTCAAAATCAAAGACCTTAAACTTTGATGGAAATGACAAAATCAAGCACTCAACTAAGTTTATTGGCATTAATGCTTCCATATACATCGTGCATTTCAATTGCCTTCAATCTTTCCTTTTTTTATCATACTTGTTCCTCATTTTGTATTCTTTATTGATTCTGACACCCCTTTTTAACTTTTTTACTTTTTAATATCATCGATATTAGGCATAGCGATAGGGTTAAAAGAAGTGAACCCAATATTGACATTTATTTAAACTGAGAATGGCCTAACAAAAGTACCAGCATAAGGTTAATGAGTTGTCGAGGGTGCCTGTGTGGTATAGAGATATGTAAACCTTATATATACTAGTTCTTTCACAATTATTTTTTCCCTTGTCACGTGTCTTAGTAATTCCATTTTCTTTTAAAAGTCCTACTAGTATATGTTTCAATTTTGTAAACTACTTATCCTTATTTTGTTGTATTCCCATAACTATTTCCTTTATCTCTTCCTAAGCTCTTCACACCCTATCAATTCGATTTGCATTCTCATTTTCTATAACTCTTAAGTGAGCTCACATATTGTATGTGTGAGAAATCGATTAATGTTGCTTTTTAAGATGCGCTATCCTTGAACCTTTTATTAATTACCATAAGATAAAAAACGCATAATGTGAATTTTATTATTTGCCTTAAAAGATAAATCCTTAAAAATCATTCAATATTTAGGCAAGATTTTTAAGATATCTTTTTACTTTAAAGGTCTGATGAAAATATATTTATAATCATTGTTCCTTGTTTTAAGCTAGCATAAAAAGATGTTCAAACAGATGATGCATCATATGTAGGTCAGGTTTTATTATTTTGTTGAAAAGGAAATCTCTTAAATTCCCTCTTATATTTAGGCCAAATTATTTAATCATATTTCTTCCACTTCAAAAGTCTAATGAAAGTATATTTACAACTATCATTCTTTTTCATAAGCTCCTTTAGGCATATTATTAAAAACATAAACGACGACATTCATTTTTAGATAAGTCAAATCATGAGACATTTTCATTCATTCCAAAAATTACAAATCCATATATCATGAACCATCCTAGAACTAGGGCTATATAAGTGCCAAACTTGTTCATACTATGCCTTTACCTGATCTAAAAAGTCTAATAGAAACTAACTATGATTGCTAATAAGGATAACCTTTTGCCTTAGAGACTTAGCCATTTTCATCATTATATTTGATGATGGTTTGTAGTGTATCTTGACATTATATTTGATCAGATATTTGAAAGGTTGATCATTTAGCATTGTTATCGAAAGAGGTCTGAATGGAAACACAAAAAATTTGCTCTTTGGCCTGGTTTCTAAAGAAAGGTTAAAGAATCACTTACTTTTATATGGTTAATTTTTAAAATTATTTCTCTTGTCTGGTTTGCAAAATTCATTTTTATATGGCTATGGTGCTATATTTAACTTTCTGGCAATACTGGGAACTGTTGTTGTCAAATGTATGATAAAGTCTTATGATATTCAATTCTTTAAAGCAAGTTAAGAGTATAAGCAGAAAATAAAGTCAAATCACTTTTGATCTAGTTTTCTTTCTTCAAATACATCTTTAAATACTTAAATTTGAAACAAGCTTTTCGCTTGAAAATAGTTACTCGTGGTAGAACTTTATCGTTTATTTCTCCAGCAATTGTTGTTTGAATAAGCAAAACTATTAAGCCAATTTGAAATCTTCATTTGTGTGTATGATATTCTGACATTGTCATTTAGATTATGTCAGGTCATGGTAGCTTTGATATCTTACAAGGACATTCAAAAGCTACCATGTTTCTTATATGTAACAATGCAACTCAAGGAATTTCATCCTCTTTTATTCTTTAAATTTGTAAGT